CCCCCCCCCCCCCCCCCCCCGCCCTTCTGCCTTTGCCGAACTCGTCGGGACACCAAATACAACAGGGGCTGCAGCTGCTGATCCTGGGTCCGGTGGGGAGAAACCTCATGGGTCTTGCGCCGCCTACCGGGCACAACAACGACGGCAGCGGCGGCGGTACGAACGCGCAAGGCGCCGCCCGTTTCGCGCTCGCGACCGCGGCGACCGGTCACGCCGTCATCGCCGTCGCCCTCAAACTGCTCGAGGAACGCACCGGCGGTGCTGGTGGTAGCGGCGGCGGGGGCGGGGGCGGCGGTCGAGGAGCGGGGGCAGGTTTTGGTCGGAGGCGAGGGGTGCAGGGGCCGGCCTCCATATCTCGGGCCTTTGGGGAGGTGCGACGACGGAAACTTGTCGGTGATGCTGGTGGTGTGTGTGTGTGTGGAGATTTTTGGTGGCGTAGTGTTCGGTGGGCGTTGTTGTCGAACGGACGCGTGCCTTTCCTAGCGGGTCAACTCGAGCGGTGGCACGCCCGACACACAGAGCAGGCGTTGTCTCAGTAGAGCATGCCTTTAGCGCTCAAGTTTTGCAAAGGAACAACGGAGGTGATACAAATCCAGCTTGGCTCTATTAATAGTGTTCCATCACCGAAAGGCGGAAAAAGTACCCCCCCTTAATTTCCTGGACGTTTGCTTCGTTCGAGCAGGCACGTTGGATCCCTTCCATGGGAAACGCCTCCGCCATTTTCTCGGCTGTCGGTGCGTTCTTCTGCTGCTGGAGGCACCTCCCGGGGGAGAGCGCGAGGGCCCTGACCGCGATCCCGTGCTGCGCCCTGCTGCTCCTGCTGCAAGAGGATGGAAGACTTTTCCGCGGCGACACGGGGTTCGGGGCCGCCGTCCCAGCGGGCGCGCTGTCGGCGACGTGGGCCGGTTCTGCGGTCTTCTACATTATCTTGAAGGTGCTTTATGGCTGGTGGTGGTGGTAGTGTTGTTTTTGTTGTTGCTGTTTTTGTTGTTGTTGTTGTTGTTGTTGTTTTTGCTGCTGTTGTTGTTGTTGTTGTTGCTGTTGTTGCGACTGTTGTTGTTGTCGTCGTTGTTGGGACGGTTAGTTCCTTTTTGTCCTCTTGCTCTTGCCGGCGTTGTTGTCTTCGGGTCGAAACCGCGCATTTACACCGGGCGCGGTTGCGTACTCAGGGCTCCGCGGGCTGATCGTGGAACGACCCAACCTCCCGTGTCCAGTGGTGAGACTACCGGCACAACCGTCCCCCGCACCCCTCCTTAGCCCTCAGAGCACCGCTGTTGCCCTCTTTCGGCACACACCACCAGGGATCATCGCTAGCGGGAGCACCGCGGTCGTCGTTCTCCCTGATGAGCTTGTTGGGGGCTGGGCCAGCCCTGGGCGTGTACAGGGGGGTGCTGCACCACTTCCACGGTGCCTACGGGTCGGTGGACAGCCGCAGGCATGGGGAGGCGGCGGTAGCGCTTCGGGCCGTCAGCTTTTGGACGGCGGATTCCCCTTGGCAGGTGAATAACCAAACTAAGGCTTGCGAGTCGCTCGTACCGGGGGAGCGATCGGGGCTGCTGGCGCGTGGCTTGTTGTTGTTTTAGTTGTTGTTGTTTGTTGTTGCTGTTGTTGTTGTTGTTGTTGTGGTTGTTTTTGTGGTTGTTCATGTGTTGTCGTATTTGTATCCTTCCCGTCGTGTGGTCGTCTTGACATTTTTCTAGCCGCATCCTGACCTTTACCCCAGCACAATGTGCCGTGCTTATCCTGTCGCCAGCAGGCGGGTTTCCGTCGCCGCAGGCTTCATACGCCGTGCCACAAGGCACGAAGGAAGCGACACGTGTGAGAAACGAAGTTCCGACCACGTCATAACAATCTTAACTACGAAAGCCCCCCGCCTAGTTGGTGCGGTCGGTAACGGCCAGGGGGCTTGTCTTGCGCTTCATCCCGCTTCCATCCGGCCATTGGCAATATTCAACACACAGCCAGAACTTGGTAATGTTGAATATTGGCCTCTCTGTCCCCGCTATTTTTGGTCGTGCAATGGAAATCTCTCGCCGCCCCCTCCTGCCTTCGTTCCGCGCCACCTAGAATCCGAATCCTTGCCGGAACCCTAAGGCGTATCTGTCCTCATCCTCTCGTGTCTTCCGCGTCGCCTCTCAATACCCTACCCATTGCCCTGACTCTAGCTCTAGGTTCGGCGGTGAACCCGTGTTCATACCTGAAGGGCATATCGCTAGCCCCCCTCCCCCCCCCCCTTCATTTTTATTCGGCGTCGCCTCTCCCATACCACACCCTAAGCCCATACCCTAGCCCTGATCCTTACCCTTAAGACCAGACCCTGATGCTGACCCTTCGACTCTGACCATGATTCCTACTCTACGCCCTGACCCCTCTCCTATCCCAAACCCTAAACCTCAGCATTAGCCGAACCTATCGATCCAGCGCTTGACAGCCCCGAACCCCTCCGCTCCCCTTTCCGCGCACCCGCAACTCTCTCCTCCCTCCCCGACATCGCGCGGCAACGCTTTTTGCTCGGGATACCACGACACGACACGACGTGTGGAAAAACCGCACCACCCGGAACCAGCCTCTGTGGAACTTGGCCCTGCTCGCAGTTTCCGTCCCGTCCCACGCCTTCCTGGCGCGGTTTCTCTGGGGCGGGCGGGGTTCCACGCCTCAGCGAGCGTCGGAAGTGCTCGCGGCGCTGGCGATAAACGCCCTGCCTTTGATTGCCGCCGATCTCGCCAGGTATTGTATGTACAACACACACGGGCGGCTACAGCAGGGAGTTCTTGTTGTTTAGTGGTTCACACGACATGAGGTGCTGCGCAGCTGCCGCTGTTTGCTGCCGCTGTTTTGCCATCAAGAAACGAGCGTGTATGTCGTTCCATCTCTCTGTTTCGATATCGAGGGGCAAGATTTATCACGCCTGTTTGTTGTCGTACACGATAACGTGTTTGAGTGTCTTGCCGACCTGCTCCACTCCGCTCTGTCTGTCTGTCTGTCTGTCTGTCTGTCTTACGTTGCCAGCATCAACTTGATGGGACTTACGGGGCTTGCCGGGGGTTTGGTGCAACTGTGGCTCCTGCGTAAGAGACAAGCAAGTGGGAGACGTATCATCTGATTCTACTCGTCGGCCGTCTGGATCAAAAAGCATGTACCTGAGCGTGCTTTGGGGAAAGGAAAGTCTCGCTGTGTGTGTGCTCCTGTTGCGTGACATATGTGCTGGGATGTGTTCACCCAAGGAAACAAACCCTGCATGTGCTCGGAACGCGTACCATGGTTTATTGCGGATTCCCCGGGAAATAACCCTGTGGCGGCGTTGGGCCAATTAATTGCTGCTCTTACAACGAATTCCAATTGAGGATACGGTGAGGTTTCTCATGAAAGGTTTGTCGCCGCCGTCGCCGCCCTCGGACGCACACGTACTACGGTACACTAGATACCGTGAACCCTCGGTATATTTGCCTCACCGTGTACTCCTGTCTCTAATGTTGTGACCTCGGATGCAGTCTTGCATCTCGGGTGTGAGTGCTATCTCACGGGCGTAGCACCATCATGTCGAGTCGAGTCGTTCGCAGTTGCTATGAAGAAGTAGTCTATGTTCTCCAGGTTGGGTCGGGAAAGATCGTGAGAGGGGTGTCCGTTTTCAATGCATTGAGTTCGTCCCGAAAGGGTGGAGCGGGGGAGACCTCCCCGAATCATCTCTTGGGCGCGTTTTTTTACACCAACGCGTCGTTCGTGCGAACACCAATTTGTTTGTAGACTTCAGACAGCCTGCTTAGACTGGGGGATCCTGCGGATGGCTGCAGGGAGAAACTGTACTGGCGTTTGGAATTCTTCCGCATATGCATACGCCGCGAAGAAGACGTTCTTCGAGAGGAGAGCAAGGGTTTGCCGCGCCGAGATGTAGCACCCCGTAGGAGCGTCGGTCGCCTTGTCAAGGGGGATGGGCTCAGACACCCGTGCATTCGAAACAATCAGATGTGGAGGACTGCATCATCAATGAGAAGTACATCCTACCTGCTCCCCTAAAACATGAGTGCGCGCCAAAACCCAACTTCAACAAGCTGAGCTTTCGGCGAAGGAAAAGGGGGGCTATGTGGAGGTCACTCAAGGACATGGGAGATTCAGGGACCACGGAACCACCTGAGGGATACGTAATAATATATCTTTGTTCTTCCCAAGGGTTCGCTACTGTTCTATTATACATCACTGGTCTTCCCAACGGTTGGTTACTCTTCTGATTCCCAACAGCTGTGAATGGTTGATCAATCTTTAGCTGGGAAAATGAGTCCACGCAGCAAGGCTCGCCCACTCTCCGCACCACTCTCTTATAGCTTGACTGTGAGTTTTCGCTCGGTCATGCTTGGCACATTCCTCGCTACATCGCACCAAAGGAAATAACCAGCCTCCGATGGCAGATCGTAGCCACCACAATCCGTACTCTCCCCTCACACAGAGTAGAGGGCTCCATGAGATGATATTTTTCATCGCGATCGGTGCTCGCTATCGTTGTAGTCTATTAGACTATAGTCTAGATCCCTCCTTGCATACAGCAGTCGATCTTCACCCCCCGACAGCAGACAGAAGATCAAATCAGAAGATCACTACAGGCAATTTCGGACGCCCACGAGACAAAGGTTTCTTGCGCTGCCATCGTGTATGCGTGTCTACCTCCTGGTGCTGGAGACGCATGATGTGACGCGGAAGGATCTATTGCTTGTAGCCTAGTCTACATGTATGCATCCGTGTCCCTTCGTTACGTGTTTTTGGTCAAAAGTTGACTGGAGGGTCATCATCCTGCATTTCAAATACATAGCAGCCACAAGCCCTTGTCCAACAGCAATAAACCCAGCCCTTGCGCGCTGCTTGCACAAAATGCAGTACTTTCCCACACCTTCCCATCGCCACGGGCTACCTGCTGTCTTGCTGCGCCTTCGTTGGCCAGCGTTGGCTTGGTTGGCTCCCGTCCCGAAACAAAGCAACCCTAACTCCCGCGTGAGCGGCCAAAAACACGCCGCGCGAACCAGGTTCAGCAGCTGCGGAGCCTTCCCTTCAGCTCGGCACTCTTTTGCGCCGCACCCAACACACACAACACACACACAACGAGAACCGCACGTGTACACCTGCTGTGTTCCCTCTAACAATGACCGCAGAAAGTTCAGGAGAAGCGGCCGCGCCATCCGATGGTGCAGCAAAGAAGGGCCTCAGTAACGACCAGCTGAAGGCGTACATTCGTAAGGCCCGGGCCAAAATCACGGAACTCGAGGAACAGAACAAGGCTTCCGCTGTCGACGCAGGTGTGTTGTGAGAGGCTGACGAAGGACAACGCTTCCCAAGAGAGAAAGAGGGCTTTGAGGCTTGGCGTGGATGCTGCTGTTGATTTCGGTTGATGTGGTTATGTTTCCGATTCGTTCACACGTGCCTGCTGCTGTTTATCACGGCGTCTATCGACGTCGGGTATGAGTGCATGTCCGGCGTTGTGGGTAGAACATTTGGTGTCATCCGCGGTTTCCGGCGTGTTACCCCGCAGCCGCACACCTTCCACCTCCACATGGCGGTACATGTGACATAAGAACCAGCAGCTTTCACTCCTCTTACTCTCATCTCCGGGCTTTGTCCGAGGTGCCCTGCAACGACGCGAAGCAAAGCGATGCTGGTGAGAGTAGATCAAATCGGGGAAGAACGGCATCCTTGCGCGCACGACAGCAGCACCACTCGACTGAAAAACCAAACACATGGCGACAAAAAATGCTGCTTGATTTCCACACTTCGGTTTGTTTGCCGGGGCATGCCCTGCCCAGAGATGCGTTGGCTGCTCTCTCGGTCTCTACAGGTTGCCTACCTACATGTGACATTATATGTTCTCAAGTCGGCAGCTGGAGTTCATGCATACGTTGCGATGTTGCTGTCATGTGCGTATGTTACTAAGATGCATTACAGCAGTGGGTTGTGGGGGGCGGCGGCGGCGTCGGTGGCGTCGGTGGCGGAGACCGAACCCAGGCTCTTTCAGACCTGTGCGTTGGACTCCTCGCGATCACGCTCGCATGGCTCCATCAGCGCGGCTATGAAGGCAGGGCTGGCCTCCTTCGGCTCCCCGTCGGGTTCGGCGCCTGCCACCGACGCCACCGACGCCGCCGCCCCCGCTCCTCCGCTCTGATGCGTACCTGTGCTCCCCACGTGGAAAACCTCACTCGCACAGGTTGTCACCCCGCCGGTGTCGCTCTCCCCTGTCGTCTGAGGATCCTGCAAAGTATCACCAGCTCGCCCACAGCTCGTTGGGGTCGATGAAGACACCGATGCCGCTGTTGCCGACAGCATCTCGTGGTCCCTCTCCCCGTCTCCGCGAACCTCAACCGCCCGTCCCGGTGACGTCGCTGTAGGTACTCCCCCACCCACCCGACGCTTCGCCCTGCAAGACCAATTAAACGGCGGGACAACGACCACTTGATTGATGACATCCCGGAACCACCCCTGGTAGCAAGAATCAACCTAACCGCCCGTGTTGGCTGGGGAGGGGCCAGAGGCACGAATGGACCGTTGACAGAAAAACATGGCGAAAAGACACAGAAACCATCGACACACAGCCGGGCACATCTTCCTTCAGTACGAGACAGAACGAACGAAATGTACGTAGTGTAACAGGGGATACGTCCCTTCAGTACAAAAACTGCCAAACTGAACGGATCGCCACTTTGGTTGGCACCGTGGTGAATTATATCGGCACAACATTCATGAAACGGTGAAGAACGGGTCGCCATGTCTGTCAAGGTACAGGAAGTAAGCAGCGAGGCATGCTATTGAAGTACCAAACGGGTCGGCGGGGAGTACGGTGCCTTTGAAGCAGGCCGGGGGGGGTGGGGGGGAGGGGCTCCTTGGAAATCCGCAAGATATCGGATCTCATATATATTTGCGACGTCCTGTTTGACGCGTCTACTACGTCAAACTGCCGAACCACATCGTCAGCTGGAGCGAAAGAATGGAAAGATCACGTACCGTAAACTAGGTACTGGTAGTATGTTCGGGTCGAAAGCGTGCAGAGCGCAGAACGCTTGAAAGGCGAACAAGTGTTTCCTGATCTTCGTGGACACTAACAAAGGTACGTACGTCCATCCTATATCGGCTGCAGAAGCAATCGGAGGGATAAATCGAGAAATACAACAAAGAGAGTATGAAGTGTACCTCTGTTTGTTGTTTCTTTCGAGGTATGCCTCTGTTGTTTCTTCAACCGGTACACCGATGTGCGTACGTACCTTTGGTGATGACCACGAAGATTGGACAGTGTTGGACTTGTTCGAGGTTGAACCGAAATGGTAGCCTACTTTGTTCAGTATCGGGATGTATTCATTCAATCTTTCGACCAAAATAGGAATGTCGCCCCCCCCCTCGGACCGATTTTCAGACCCTCTGTTGTTCCACAATCACGATGGAGAGGATGCGGAACTCAAATACTACACATTCGCAAAGCTCTCGACGAGACAGCAGTTCTAATGCCGCCATTTCCAACACCGTCCCTGTTTTTCCTGCCTCTATTACAAGTCGAGTCGGTTTAGGGGGTGTGATACCCTGTGCAACCTGCCGTACTACTGTAGACTACTTCTGTCGTTCCCGCGATACGACTGGCAGAGACCGATCACGATGCCAATTTTTTCTCGCGGGGGAGGCCTGCGTGCGGAAAACCAATCGACGTTTCTCGAAGAAAAAAAAATGTCTTATGGTGGTGGGTGTCTTGAGAAACAAGCACCAGCACAAACAGCAAATATCAAGTTTCTCGATAAACAACAGCAGCATCCATTCCCGCCGCCGGGCATCATCCTGTCGTGGAAGAATAATATTCCTTCTCGAGCGCAGCAGGGCCATATATATGAGCACACAAAGACGGCCCTAGAAGGTTATCAAGCAATTCATATATGTCTAAATCAGCAGTAGCCCTGCGGCTTCATTGTGCGTTTTTCCGGACTTCATCAGCATGCAGCACCTCTCTCCCTGCCCAAATATACTATACGTAGTAAATGGTGGTGTGTACTTGGCTGATTGAAGTTGGGTTGTGGACGAAAAATGCGTCTTTCTGGACTAACGTCTCCCACCATTCTATTGTCTAGACCACATTATTTTGGACGCGATACGTTTGGGCTCCACCTTTTGGTTACCACCCCTTTGTAGAACCAGGTCCTGTGGTCCTTGCCTAAATCGTCATGAGAGCGCTCAGCATACCACGAGGGTAAACTAATGTTCAATGAAACAAAAGAATATAAACAGAGCAAGTCGAGAGTCCCGTGCCAACATTCTATCATAGGCGACAGCAGGATGACTTAATACGCCTATCTAGCCGCAATTTGTCTTCTCCAGTCCACCAGGAGGTGGGAAGGATTTCCCGTCTAGGCTTGATGTACATACGTACTGTCGTCCTTTTCCTTCGTTGACACGCGTTCAGGCCTGCTGAGCTCCCTTCGAGAAGAAGTGGAGGCATGGAAAGCCAAGTTTCAGGAGCAAGTGGAAGCCACGGCCGCAGCAGCAACAGCCGCTGAGCCCAGCGACGCCGACGGCATGGAGCAAGCCCTAAGGGATGTGGTCCAGGCGCAGGAGGAGACCTCGCGGTGGAAGGAGAAGGCGGTTGCCGCGCAGGAGCTTGAGGGTCAGTCATTCACTTGTTGGGTTGTGTTGTGCTTTTGTTTTGGTTGGGGTCCACGTTCTTTCGTTCGTGGTGCCTTGGTGTACAATTGTGCCCGCGTGTCTAGTTTTTCGATCGCGCTAAGAGCGTAAGGTTTCGTCGCATGCTGAGTTGCGTTGTGTGCGTTTTTTTTCTTGTGTTGTTGTGTTGGCGTTTAGTTATGTTTTGTGGCGCATTATGTGCGTTTTTTTTTGGTTAGTGTCCAGGGACTTGGTGTGCCTTGGTTCGATTGTGGGCGCGTTTAGTTTTGCATCGATCGCGAAGTGACGGCTGACCAGTGACAAGACGTCAGCCTTAAACCGCGGATCGTTTAAACGCGATCACTTTTCTTGTCTGCGTCCCACCCCCCCGCCAAAAGTGCATGTGTCTATATGGTAGAGCGTCGACCGCCCTTGCCAGCTGCCCGATGAAAAAATGTGTGGGCTAAAAATACCAAGGCGCTGTGTGTGTGCGCGTGTGTTTTGGTTTGGCTTGTTACACGGAATGCGGTGTGTCATTGTGGCGTATTTCTTTGCATCAGTTCGACGCGCTTATTTCATGTTGAACACCCGATTTAGGTCAAACGCGTCAAAAGTGATGTACAGATGTACATTGAGGAGTGTTTATGTGTCGTTCTCGCGCTCCGCGTTCACAGTGCGATTTCTTGGGATGGAGGAAGAGCTCCAACAGACGAAGGCATCAAGCGAGCTTGCCCAGGAGAATCTGAAGGCGTTGCATCAGGAGGTTAGCGCTGCTCTGCGGGAGATTTAGTGGTCAACACGAGAGAGAGAGAGAGAGAGAGAGAGCATGGGCTTTCTGGATGTTGATGCAGAATCTGCCAGCCTTAGCCTTGCCACGAAACGTAGACACAGAACTCACCCTCCAACTACTCCCCTTCGGTCAATGGTCAAACGACTAAGGTACGCAGAACATGAGTAAGCCCACCGACCCTACCCCCTCTGCCAGCGTACACGCCTTTCTCTTCGTGGTGCGGCAATCCCCCCCCTCCACCCCTCCACCCCCCCACCCCCGACGAGTGACCACGCCGGTCACAAATTCACAAGTTTCGCCGCAGTTCGCAGCAAGGTGACCGGTGACTGCTGTTACCGCTTGTGACCCTCGCCTCCTTGTCGGCTGCTTCTCTCCTTCTGCTTGTTGCTGTGGTCATCGTCACCGTCGTTGTTGTCGTTGTTCTCTTGTCTTTTTTGTCGCCCGGGTCTGCAATAAAACGCTCAGGAGTGCGCGCGGCTGGAGGCCGTGATCGACTCTCTGCGGCAGGAGATCTCCGCCTCCGAGGCCCAGCGGCAAGCGTCCGCCGCCGAAGCCGCGTCCAAGAGCCAGGAGCAGGTGGAGAGCCTTCTCAGGGACGCCGGCTTGCTCGAGCACCGGCTAGTCGGGGTCCAGCAGGAGAGGGACGAGGCGGTCGCGCAGGCCTCCCAGCTGGAGGAGCAGGCGCGACGCCTGGAGGAAGCGGTGGTCGAGTCTCGCGAGGCCGCGGAGGCCAGGGAGTCGGCGCTGAAGGAAGAGGCGGTACGGGGAGCGGCGGAGTCTCGCCAAGCCGCGGAGGCTAGGGAGACGGCGCTGAGGGAAGAAGCGGCGGCGGCGGAGGCGGAGGGGGCTTCGCGGCTGCAGCGGGCGATGGCGGAGGCGGAAGAGCTCCGGTCGGAAGTCGATCGGCTCCGTGAAGCGGCGGCAGAAGCTGCTACTGCTGCTGCTGCTGCTGCTGCTGCTGCTGCTGCTGTGAAGGAGAAAGAGGAGGAGGAGGAGGAAGAGGAGGTGGAGGGTGAGGGTGAGCGGACAGCAGCGGCAGCGGCAGCGGCAGCGGCTGACGAACTCGCGAGCACTAGGGCGGAGGTCGATGAGCTTCGAGCAAAGGCAGCGGCCGTTCAGGAGGAGGTCGACCGGCTCCGTGAAGCGGCGGCAGAAGCTGCTTCTGCTTCTGCTGCTGCTGCTGCTGCTGCTGCTGCTGTGAAGGAGAGAGAGGAGGAGGAGAAGGAGGGTGAGAGTGAGCGGACAGCAGCGGCGGCGGCAGCGGCAGTGGCTGACGAACTCGCGAGCACTAGGGCGGAGGTCGATGAGCTTCGAGCAAAGGTGGCGGCTGCTGAGGAGATGGTCGCCTCAGCCAACAGGGAAAGAGATGAGGCGGTGTCGACCAATACCAATGCGGCGGCGGCCGCAGCGGAGGCGGCGGCGGAGGTGGAGGCCGGGTTGAAGAGAGAGCTGGAAGCATCCCGGGCGGAGCTGGAAGGAGAAAGGGTGAGGGTAGCCTCGCTTGGGCAGGAGCTCGGCCAAGCCTTCAAGGACAAGGTAATGAATGCGCGAGGCTTCCCGCAGGAGGATAGTGGCGATGATTTTTTTTTCTTTTCGTTATGTCCCCGATGTCGAGGTATCCGCGCGGAGGTTAACGAGTTGTGCTCCGGTCGTGGCGACGGGGGCGTGGTCGGCCTTTTTATGGGGGAAGGTTGTCGAGCGGGAAATTTTTTGATTGTGGGGCAGCAAGGAAGGCGGTTATGGTTTTTGTTGGCGGGTTCTTGGTGCCAAGGGAGATTTTTTTTTCGTTTTTTCGAGCCCTGTGAAACGCAGGCGAGATTTTGTTGATTTGTCTTCCAGAAGCAACCGCTGTTGGGTTTGTCCGTCGGTGAAAGAATCGTGACTCGTTTAGGCGGTGGTGCCTGGGTTCCCAAGGGAGACGGCATCCTTGAAAAAACTACCGATGCTGATGTTGATCCTCCCGTTGAGCGCGTGCGACGTCGCGAACATGACACCTTTCTTCGGTCCTCGCTCGCTAAATTGACACGTTCCCTGCACCGCAGGAGGAAGGAAGGTGGGCAAGAAGAACAAAACAGAACAGCAGAACAGCTCATTTGTGAACCTTAACGGCGTGTATACTTGCGCCGGAATAGGTGCGATGAACACAAGCACACTGCCGTTGTTGAGTCCAGAAGGTAGAGTACCATTTGTGCTGCTGGTGGTGGTTCCTCCGCGACCGTCACCTTGTAGCTTGATGTTTTACACATCAAAAGTAGTTTTAGTCCAGTCTTCAATTATACTTCTGATAGGACTAATGTTGGAAATACCTTCATTGTATGAAAAGACACCTAAATTATTTACGGGTTCTTTTGTAATATGTTTTTTTTTTTTTTTTTGCGGCGCTCGTGGTGGTGACAAAACGAACAGGAGGAGGCGGAAGCGCGCGCCGACGCCGCGTCTCAAGACCTCGCGACCAGCTCGGCGGCGCTACGGGCCGAGCGCGACGCTCTGAGCGCTCGCCTCGCCACCGTCGAGGAAGAAGCGGCGGCGGCAATGGCACGGAAACTAGAGGAGGAGGAGGAGGAGGAGGAGCCGCAGCCGCCGGAAACGGAGGCGCCTTCGGTGGGAGACGGCGAGCCGCCGGAGGAGGCGGCGGCGGCGGCGGACGCTGGGCAGGCAGAGGAAGAACTAGCGGCCTTGCGCACGAGGTGCGCGGAGCTGGAGATCGGAGCCGCGGTGGCTTCCGAAAAGGTGAGGCAAGACGCTTTGTATGTTTCGGCGGTACAATGGCTGATTCGGCGCCTACAGGCCTGCAGACTGGCGCCATCACAAATGGGACAAACACACACACAATAAGCGTGTCGGGGGTATTTTTCCCGGGTTATGTACTCGTCAACGACTGTGGGTTCGGTGACACCCTACCTGAAAGTTACAAGCCCTACCACGACGGAAACGGCTGGTGCGCTGCGGCTGCTGGCCGGTCTTGCGTGCACTCGTGAGATGATGGCGTGTCTTGACTTGCTCCCCTTGAGAGATTCCACGCTCCCTCCCGGACAGTCTCATCAGGCCAAAGTGATGTGACTTAATTAACCCTTTTTTGAGCCGTTTCCTTGATCTCGCTCTCCTCTCCTCGAGTATGTCGTCTTGCCTGTTTTGTTTTTTTTCTGAATGTGACACATAGATTAGCAATGAAGCCAAAGCGTCAGTGGAAGCTACCTTGATTTCCACGATTTCGCGAGCAGCATACAGCGATGATGTCTCCACTGTGGGTAACAGCCTCAACACGATAGGTTGTGTTTGTGTGTTTGTGTGTTTTTACGCGGGTGTGCTGCTGGGACTCCCCCCCCCCCCCCCCCCCCC